TCTCTATTTCTACCTCTCCCCTGTGTCTCAAGTTTTCCCTTCTATGTCTCTTTTCCCTCCTCTTCCTTCTCACTCTCTTCTGAACCTAGCCTGTCAGAGAGTCCCGTCAAAATTGTAAACCCGCATTAGGAATAAAAAGCATGGGGGCTTCCCAATGATAATCATTACCATCAATCACAACTCACTCAACAGGACAATCCTAAATAAGAGCCCCAATCCCACCAACAATACCAAACAAAAACTTATCTCATTTTAATGAGGTATAATAAATCCTAACTGGCAAAAGTTTGTATAGATTTATGGATGAACACCAAACTCCCATCCCAGCTATCACAAAGGATCATGAACTGAGCAATTTGGAGTCGATTTCTCCTTAATTGGGTCTATTATGATGATAGATGAAGATACCTGTAAAGCTTTTGTAGATCCTCCCTGAGACGTTATTGTACCAGGTAGACATATAATGAAGCGTAAGTGCCCATGTTCCCAAATCTATAATCAACTACATTAAAAGCATAAATTGCTACATGTAGCCATGTGAAGATTCACAGGCCTATAAAGTAACACTTGAAAATAACGAGAATAAATTGCATGTATACACATGAATACCAGTTGAGAAATTGGTTCTTCCTTTCCTTTAATTGATTGCAATTTGTGTTTTGAGCCTTGTAAAGCAGAGATATATTGAAGACTACTTCAAACTCAAAGAATTATCTGGATTTCTACGTTTGGCGTTCCATTCCAGATCTGACTAGTCTATAAACTTTCTTTCAAATATATGATTGCTTACACTACAGTGTACTTTTACAGTGCAATTAATATCCCTTGAATTTTACTGGAAGGTCAATTGCTTGCAATTTTCTTCGTTAAAATAAAAGAATAGTAAAAGTTAGCGCTCTCTGATTCAGACGGCTTCTCTCCATTGCATTTTCAAAGCCCATAAAAATCTGCTATATGTGGGACTAGGGCCTGATCAATCTCTCATCACCACCAAATACTTCTCTGAGCCAAGTGTGATTAAAAAATTGTGACAAGAGAGCCGCTGGTCATTCAGCCAAAATATGTCGTTAATCATGATCAAATTTCAAATCTGACCTGTATCATGATGGGATATTATATGGGATAAATACAAAAATATAGGAAGTTTTCCCTATTTTATTGAGTTTTATGGAGGAAATGAAATAGCTACATTGGAGTCTGTCTGCTTATTGACTTTTAGATCAATATCAAATAGGAATCTGAATTAAGTCTAGCGTATTTCAACCCCGTTTTATAAAAATGAGGGAGAATATAATTGAGTGTTTTACGATTGTTCAAGCAAATGCAGACAAGACAAAATATTTATAAATGTCATGGTCAAAACTATATCAATTTTACTCATATTTCAAGGCTACTTTGTGTACATATTTATAAGCGTAAATCACATACTGAATGGAAAAAACACACACCAAACAAACCATATTACATTTCTAAGACACTGTCCTTTCTTCCTCTCCTTCTCACTTTATCTTCAAGTTCAATCTTCTTTCTTGAACCGATCCCCACAAACATTGATTCTTGTAAGGATATCAAACGAACAAACTACCATAGGTAGATTAGATTTCCACTTCATGACATGATCTTTCAGCAACCCTTCAATTCGCAGACCGTACCCATGCACATGATGATTACATGCATACCTTGATGTAGTCTCATCTCAGTCCACAATCAAATCAAAATAGAAAACGCTCAATCTTGGTTTAGCTTCTAAATGAATAATACTTTCACGCATCGTTCAAAATATAACAAGGGATTATATACTACATTACGCTATACTACTAGAATTAAGCAATTACCCTATCTCTCAGAAGTTATTCTTAAAAGTCAACATCAAATAACTGTAGTATGTGACAAAGACAACACTTCATGTCCAACCTCTGAATTTGTAAAATACTAAAAACCAAGCAGTTCATAACCTTGGTGAAAACCAATAATACTGGGAATGAACACACCTGGAATATGGCTCACATTTCTCGGGATCAGTTTTCAATTATCACATTTTTTATAGAATTTAAGTATTTAACCCTTTTGCTCTCACAAGTCCAAACATTGTTGATTTTGCACTAGGAAGGTCAGGAACTTTATGCTGATATCATACTTAAACAGGACTTATTATATTTAAAAAAAAAATAATTTTCTTTGTTTTTTTGTTGAAATTACAACCTACACAACAATAATATCTTTCAATGGGTGAAGCATTTTCTTTAATAACGACAATTGCCAGTGTCGTTTGAACTATTTTTTTTTCAATAAATAAAGCAGAAATGATGAAAAATTCCAGCATATCAAATTAGTGAAAATTGTAAAGGGAAAATGTTTTTTAATTCAGCAGCAACATCTGCATTTCCATTCTCCTTATTCTTAGTGTTTTTTATCAAGATCTATTGTAAGAACTACCGGTAAACATAATTTCACATTCCTTGCTTCAATTAATTTATATTCTTCAAACAAGAATTCATTCAAAAACCCCTCACCACTCCTCACTTCATCTGACTTGACATACATTCATACAACTATGTTTATTCAAGGGAATTATATTTATCTTGCCTAATTTGAACTATTCAGACGACACCTGGTTATCCATCAAATACCTCTACAGTTACTCCCAACAAAATCAGGAGTTTTCCAACAACTAAAAATGCAGTGTTTAGAAAATATAAAAAGGACTAATCTGAACTTTAAATTGTCCTTAGAATTATATGCAAACTAACACAAAGCAGTCTGCACACTGTATTGACTCCATTCTTAGACAACAATTGAAATTTTAAACCCTTAAAACGGTATCAACATGTATCGTTTTACTGAGTCAAGAAAAGTACACCATGCTATGTCTGGTCATTGATGAGAGAGACTTAGTTACAGATTAACTCAAACTCATTTTACTGGTTCACCATTTCAATAAAAGAATGCTTGAAACCTGTATAGAGCCACAGCATGTTGTAAATGGGAGGGGATTTCTGCTCTGCAGGAAAGGGCTACCGGGAGCACTGCACATAAATGCACCCCTCCCTCCCCCCCTTCCAATGAATCCATGTCTCAATACCAAGGTAGGAATAGGTACTGTGTCCTTTCATGCTAAATATAAATCTACCTCAAGATAATTGATTCATGTACCTTTTCTTTCACATCACTAGACTTATTGATGTTGTGAAATGATAAATTTATGATTCATTCAAGCTGAATTTGCTACATAAAATATGCCCCTCCCCCCCTCCCTCTCTTTCTCTCTCTCTCTCCCTACCTCAGTCTCTCATCACATCATCTATATCTAGCTGGCATCATAATATTTATGCATCAGTGGCATTCTTATCAATCCACATTCATATTCAATCAATATTCAATCGATGGGCAATATTATACAAATAATGAATGGTTATGAGTTCAATAGTGCGAATATTTTCAGGAGTTGAATAGAATTAGCGTTAATCTTTCAACAAATGAAAATATTCGCACTATTGAACGAATGAAAAACATTCATTATTTGTTTTATACAACATCGAAGAAGATCTAATAGAACGTTGATCAACAAATTATGCTTTACTCCTTATATTAAAGATAAATAAAGGTTGGAGTCGAACCTTCTCGATTACATTCAGATTGCCTTCGCGTCAGATACACGCAGGAATATGCGCACGGAGGAGAGGTACACAGTCTGCATATAACCAAAAATGCACGGTCGTGCAATATAACATCTATTGAATATCATGTGACCAACAATCCTCCAATCAAATGACAAGGATCCACATAGGTGTTGTATAAAAGACAGATAATAACACCTTTGAAAGGATACATAATCAATATATTCTCTATATCTTTTTTTTAAAAATCCATTCAGAAGACACATTGTAAAATGCAACCAAAAAAATATGAACAAAAACATTATATAGGTCTCTAAATGCTCCAATTCTGACTGAAACTTTTTAATATGTGTCTTCCAACAATTCATGAATTTGTGCACAATTCAAATACATCATGTTCACACTAGGCTATTTTTATAATGTAATCAAATTTGATGCATAAGTCTTTCTGATGTGCTCCAATAAAAATCATTTCATTCACCTGTTAAGAATAGTAAGAATGCAATGGGTAAATTAAATAATATGTATCAAGGCACTTCACAAAGACGTATTCATTAGATTTGGTTACATTACGAAAATAGCCTATTCCTCCATAATTTTTGTAGGTGTGCAAAGGCTATAAAGAATGCTGTGTTTATGTGACATCCAAACTAAAACAGTGTAGAAATTATCATTTGCAAGAATATGTTCACAGATGTTTTCAACAATTTACAACTCAAAGAATATGCTGACAAGATGATTACCGTAGACTTTGTGTTTTTTTGTAAATCACATGAAGTCAATGTATATTCTCCTTTAAAATATGAATTGGAGTTGAGTAAATCTTTAAAAAATCAGTTAAATGTAATATTTTAACAATGCTATTTTCATGCTGACTGCAGTTTCGAGGCCTATAGAAACACTAGCACATATCAAGGCATCCGCACATGAAATGATGACAAATGATACAATTTTGGACTGAAGAATGGCTTCACAAGCCTGTTGATAATCATAACAGCTAACCTCATGTATAACTTAGCTATAAAGAATCCAAAATGAAGACTGTGGATCACTCTATAATTCACTGCAGGTACATTGATATGATATCATTCAAAACGACAAAAAATCTTTCACAAAGAAATGGTTCTGTAGTTCTAGAGGCATTTTCCTACACCTGTAGATGAAAGATGTTCACCAAGCAGTTGGTAGTTGACTGTACTTGGATTAGGGCACAGGGTATATGGAGGTAAACTTCTAAATTTCACACCCACTTTCTAAAAATGCTGGCTATGGTTGACAGAGCAGGTCACCAAATAACTCCCCTAGCCAAAAAAAAAGAGAGCACATACTGAATGAGGGATGGAAACAGAGAGAGATAAAAGTGATGAAGACACTAATATTTACCTGCTAGTAATACAACTGTAAAGTCAGCGAAGGAAACAAAGAGATGGCACAATGATGACAGAAGAGCCGTTTTCCCTGGACGTAGCTGATAGTATCCTCTTGCAATGATCCCTTTGGCTAAACTAAAGCAGAACTCGTATAACTGTCTCCTCACTGTACGAACGAAGAAGAAAAGAGATAGCACCTTGCGTTAATCGCCTGGGTGAACTCGGCGTCTCTAGCTTCCAACTGCTGGCAACAGTTGGGCATGGGATCGGGGAGTGGGGAGCTCGGAGGAGGGGTATCTTCTTGGTGCCCACAATTGCGTATTGTTTAGACGTGTCCGTTATTTGTGGGGTAACCAATTGCCCAGATCACTCTTGAAAAGGGTCGACTAGACAAGAGGGTGGGATGAATGGGGTACGATTCCACCGCATTGAGATTCTATAGGGGGTGTTAACGACCCCCTGTCACTTAAGTGGGTGCTATAGATTATATTGTAAGGGGTGAAGGGGTGCTCATTGGACTTTGTGGTATTGTGCCATAATAGGAAGCAATAATCAGTTTGGTCTGTTCTTTATCTCTTTCTCTGATGTCCATCTCTCCCTCCCTCTTTATGTCTTATTTCCTCTCTCTCCCTCTTTCTGTCTTCTCCCCCTCTCTCTTTCTCTCTCTCACCTCTCTCTCTCTCTCTCTCCCTCTTCTTCCCCCTCTCTCTCTCTCTCTCTCTCTCCCTCCTTCCCCCATCCTCCCCTCCCATCTCATTGTTGGGAGAACACATAGAGTAAACATTGGTTACATATATAGTTTACACGTTTTACAACCCGGCTATTGGAAGTACAACTGATACTGGCAAGTACAATCAATACACGGCATGATGAACTAAACGACACCACTGACATCCAGATCGACAGCATGACAATAATTTTCTACTGAATTGCGTTAAATGATCAAAATTGGTTAATTTAGCTTGAACTTCCTGAAATGCCTTAGGTCATATGCCCTCTTGTGATGAGTGTTGTGAGGTATACAAGACCTTCTCAATAAATTCATACTAATGGCTATGGAAACCAGATTGGCCCTTCAATAAGCATACAGAATATGATAATTCACTTGTTGACGTTAACAGATATTCAAATGCAAAAGCATAGAGGTGCAGAAAGTGATTTAGTGAAAGTGAATTAAATTAAACTTGGAACTATAGCACAATCAGGGATAGAGGAATCTTTCTCCTGAAAACCAGGCTAGCAAAGAAACTGAAACTATGCAGGAGACTGCAAATCAAACAACAACAGAGAAAATTCAGATTATCTTCATTATACCCCATTCACAGTGGTTTTGAAATTTGTAGCGGCGTTGTAGCGGAGCGGCGACACCGCCATAACACCGCTACAAATGCATTCACAGTAGAAAAGTTATCCCGCTGCAGCAGCGGGATAAATATCATGTACCCATTCACGCTGCAGCGGGTGATTTTTATTACCTCCGTAACAAACACGTGTATGCATGGCTCATGACCCGCGAGTGACCCCGATATGACCGGAAATACTTCAGCGCTGGGTTTGCGCGCGCGCTAGCTGTACTTTACACACTTTACTTTACTTTTTAAAAAACTAGCATTTTTATTGTTTCCAGTCAGAATATTTTAATTTTTTGAAGTGTGAAATATTTTTATTTGGATAATTATAATATCTACATAATAATAAAATCAATTTGAATCCACTGGTTACTTTATTTCTATTTCACTTTATGTTCCCCATTGCTGGAGAAAAGAGGTCAGTGATAGGTACATGTAAGTAAACAAATCACACGTGTTTGTCGCGGTGTTATAGCGGAGAGCCTTCACACTGAGTAAACACCGCGACAGCAGCGGGACTGTCCCGCTGCTGTAGCTAGGCGAACCTAGCGATAGTTTGTCGCGGCGTTATCGCGAGGCGGTGTTATCCCGCGATAGTTTATAACGGGTCCGAGCCTTCACACTGAAGACAACACCGCGATAGCAGCGGGACAGTCCCGCTGCTGTCGCGGTGTTTGAGGCCACTGTGAATGGGGTATTAGAAAGACAGGCTTTATGCTCAGTCAACAATATAGACACACTATAGGTTTTTTTAAAAGAAGGACTTCGGTGTTTTTCAAGTGTTAAGATCTATTTGAACAGAGAAACAAGTAGATCGTCTTGAATAATGAAGACTTTTGAACATTGGAAAGAAAGATAAGAAGAATTAACCACCTGCTGGCTCTTATGGTGTTGATTATTTGGCTTAACAATATTTGGGAATGTTTCATCTTAAACCTTTTCTTTCTTAAAGGGAAATCCAAACCAAATAAAGTACCGAAGCTTTGACATACAAATCACAGAAGCCGTCTGGTGAAAGTTTAAATGATATTGGACATATTGGAGTTGCCCTATAAACACAAAGTCTAACTTTTTCTGTCTGGCAAAAGCATAATGTGATTAACACTTTCCAATCTTCATGAAACAATATTTAAAGTATATTTTGTTAAAAATAGATAATTCAGTTGTCCCTTTTATTTGTTTATTCTTTTTTTTGGCATTTGCCCAGTGGTCCCATTCTCTGATCGCATTATCACAAGATGATCAAAATGTATAAATAAAGGATCACAAATAAGCAATTTTTCATGGCATACTCAATATTGATACTTATTTTAATGCCACTGAAAAAATATAGAAACTAAAGAAAGCATAACTCACAAAGGGAATTATTCATGAGGATTAAGTTTACCTTTTAACAGATTAGAAATAAGTAGAAAAGCTTTTGCGGGAATAGATGAAACAACACAACAATATGAAGCTAGGACATGTGATTGAAGATTTATTACCTTACTTTATAAGTCCACATCATAAGGGTTGGTAAACAGGTTTGAACTATTACTACATGGATTTTATAGATGACTTGAGTTTCTTTCAAATTTCAGCAAACCTGGTCGATGATATAATCTTAAAGGGCAATTTAACCCTTGTAATAAGTTCATTTGTATGAAAACAAAAAATAAGATAAACAGAATGGCGAAAGTTTGAAATAAATCGAACCAATCATAAGAAATTTATGAATGTTGGAAATATGAGATCATTTAGTATATGCTAACATATCAAATTGGCAGTTTGTCAGTGGATTGTGACTTAGTCGCCGTCAACTCTCCCTTTTGTTGTGTTCAAAAACATGAATAGTTCTGTTTTACTCCTAGTAATGCATTCTCCCTTGGGGTACTAGCTACTCAAAATATAGTATGGATAGCTTATCATCATAGGTACTCAAGAGAGAATAGATATTCCAGAGTCATACATTCATGAAAAATTGAAATTTAGTCATTTTGTGTGTTGGAACAAATGAGAAAGTTGTCTGCACTACATCACAGATTACTTGGACCTTTGTTAGCTTCAGGGAAAACAAGAATTTTGAGAGATTTCCGTCTGCCCCAATATATCCACAGCTCCACACTAACCTCAAATACTTGGGGTGCAGAGAATCAAATTGGGATGTGGACACTAGGCTCTTATATACATTTTGATATTTGAGGGGTCCGAGTGTTATTGTGGGGGTCAAAGTGTACCCCTAGACCTCTATAGGTGTCAAGCCCTTTTATTTCCAAGATAATAATAATTTTAAAAATACAATATTTATAAAGCGCATAATAAACTTAAGTTTCTCTATGCGCTGTACAAGCATGAATGACAAGAAACATAATCACATAAAAGGAATCAACAAAGAGAAATATACAAATCTTATAACTACTAAAATGACTAACTTAACATAGTAAATATTAACATAATAAAAAGAAAGCAAACAAGGTCAAAACAAATAACGTAATTAAGGATAGTTTAAGCTAAATAATTAAGGCCAAAGAGGTGCATTTATAGTAAAGATTTGAACGTTGCAGAAGTTGGTGCCTGTCATATGAATTTGGGAAGATTGTTCCAAAGTTATGGTCCAGCAACTGCAAAAGATCAGCCCCCATAGAATATAGTATTGGTTTTTGGGGACACAAAGTAGTGCTTGATTGAGAGCCATAAGGGCAGTAACCATAGTCACCATCATTGTTATAACTTCCGGAGCCTATGACCCAACCAAAAAATTACTCTTTTTTTTTCGAGGGCTCTTTTCAGATTTTCCCTTAAAAAAATAGCCCCCCTTAATTATTTTGCGGTGGCTATTTTGGAGCTCAGGGGGGCTTTTTTTTTTTTAAAGGTTGTATTTTTTTTTAACGCGGTTTTACCCAATTAAATTCCAAGCAAAGGGAAATATAGATACAATTGTAGCGTACATAATATGTAGAGTATTGCAGACATTCAGATACCCATGATTTATTCACTTTGTGTTAAATGTGTGGCTTTATGATTTACATATACATGTAACTAAAACTTGTCAAAAGGATTGTTTTGTTTAACCGTTCGTTTTTCATATCCTAAGAAAATATTATCACTGACACGCGGGCTAGGAATTAATTTTTTTATGGGGGCTACTTTTCCCCATTGCCTAAAAAAAACCAAGGGGCTACTTCCTTAAAGCCATATTGCAAGCTGTAACAATAAGTTGTGTTTTTCCTTAGCCATCATACTACTAGCAACCAAATTGGTAGGTAATATGTTATTTAGTCTTTTTTCTGTCCCAAATTTAATTGTTATCATGGACAATGCAATCCCATTAAAAAAAATGTAGACCAACTCCCTTTAAAATTGTGTTATTTAGACCATTTATAACCATTAAATGTGAGTAAATATTTTTACTGTTGTCCCACATACCGATGTAGGGTCTATTTGTTATGCCGAAGCATGCAAAATCATGGCCTTATTTTTTTTTTATAGACTCTAATTCTAAAGGCCAAGCCAAAGCTAGTTTCATTTCGTAGACAGAAATTGATGTCATCATCACTCATGACAATTGGCCTGTCATCGCGCATCGATCGTATATAAATAATTTAATTTAATTAAACAGTTGTAAGAAAGATTCTGAGGAGTAGGAACACCCTTTATATATTTATTTACGGTTTTTTTTATAACAAAATTCAATTTCTGTGTACGAAACTTGCTTTATACCGATTTTACAGGAAAAAAATCCGGCATTGATTCTGCACGTTTCGTTATTACAAATATATCAGTATGTGGGACAACAGTAAAAATATACTCGCATTTAATGGTTTTAACTTATAAATAA